TTCCATCTTCCCGACTATCTAACAGCTCAGATGAAACTGAGAGCAATGGAGGATTTGATTTCTTGTTTATGTGATAAATTTGTCGTATAAATGAGGCGTGAGCTGAAAAGCTGGGCAGGAGTGGACAGCTGTTTTGACATGATTGGGTCTCATCAGTACTGGGTAAATTAATTGAAGCCACTGGGGATGGAATCCGAGATTTAACCGCAGGAAAAACGTCAGCATACTACCCAATTGGCCACCCTAAGGCAGCTGTCCCGAACGTTTCTCATTTTGAATATACACAATATAGTACAACCAAGTGAAAAAAACTGTCCAGTGCCTCCTGGCTTTGCAGTTCATACATTACTTACACAACGAATCAATCGGTACAACAAACGAAACTTCCATCAGCCCATACCAAACTAGCATTTCAATTAATTTGTCCAAACTATGAGAATCCCATGTGTTCTTATATTGATTGTCTGCATACTTATCCAGTTCTAATTTCAATTCTTTTTATTATGGATAAATCACAAACCTCAGGCCTATTGTATCCTATCAGGACCTGTGCACCTTGGGTTCGGTTTGTAGTACAATTAACTAGTAAATTATGGCATTCACTCACGAGTGCTGAAAAGTAAGATGTTTCAATTGTGTTTCATCGAGCCATGGTTTGAATGAATCTATGACTGGGGCGTTAACAACTTGCTAACTCCGCTGCTGAAAGAGTAACGCCTGCAGTCTAACCGACTACTTTGGAGCAAATGTTTAATCGATATCCGTTGAGGTGACTTCTTGGATAGTGTTATTAGAGTACTACACGGGTGAATAGATTGATGTGGTATTTTATGTACGAGGATCATCCCTCCGAGTATTCGACAGTGTTCCAATGAATTTTGTTTACAGTTAAGAGTCTGCGTTCAACCTGACACTGACAAATTTTCACGAAGTTGCATGAGGTGAAATCCAGAAGAGCAATTCAATTGTGCATCCAATGGTCGATACCGTGTAACTACCATTGCATTGATCGGTACAGATCCAAATTTTCAAGAAGTCAACACTATACCCAGACAAGTAGGCTTCGATGTTAACTTCAAATGAAACAACCCCGGAAGAAAAGCTTCAGTCACCTATCTGTCGATCTGACCATGTTACGGAGCTTACGCGTCAGAAATTTTCCCTCACTGGTTCTCTTTGAGTAGTAGTCTTACTCATGAATATCTCAGACGCCTTATTTGGCGTACTTACTAAGTGGGATGCTGGTATGGTTTTGGTGCTTGTGGTCAAGTCGTTTGAGTTGCTATCATTGCTATGCTCCGCTCTGAATTCCAGGGATTCAAACAGTACAACTATGACTACGATTCAGGTGAAAACAGCTTCACGCTGTTTTTGTTTTCCTGTCAGGATTTAAACTGCGAACTATCGGGTAGAGACCTCAAACCTTTACCCCTGAACTACACGGTCGACGGTCATCACCTTTTGCGAATGGCTCAATCAATTTAGACGATGAATCTTTGGATTAGCCCATTTGGGTTTTCACAGGCACCGAGCACTTTGGATACTCTTGGTTGTCGGTTTCACTCGAACTGCCTGGTGCCTGTGTCAAAAACCGAATGGGCTAATCCAAACATTCACCGACAGAAAACAGCTTCACTTCGCATCAGGTTCACTATCAAACACCTTGATTATTTCATCACCGCTTGGGATTTTGTGCTCCATAAAAAATGTACACAACGTACATGTGAATCCGAAGTGAATTCATTCGGATATTCAGCTTACAACAGGTCAGAAAATGTTTGTTGAATGCCCTCACTGAAATCTGAGTTTGGCCAGTTGGCGGTCATCACCAGCTGTTTAGATAAACACTTGAAAGCCCGCCAATTGACCGATGAAACGAATGCAAAGCAGACGACGGTGCTCGGAATATAAAGTGTGTTGGATGATGCAATAAATTCGGACCAAACGATCTGATCGTGTGTATAAAAATAAGTGAGACAAAAAAACAGAATTGCACCAACCGGTTTGGCCTTGTCCGCAAACCCGGTTTCCATGGCGGACCGTCTTGGGTCACCGATTCGTTGATCACATTACGAATTGTGGCCAACGTGGCAAATCGTGTTCCGGCGGGAGTGGGACTGGCCACGGGTTCCGGACTCGTCAGGGTACCCGTACTGGTTGTGGTGGACTGAGTTTTCTTTTTCACTGTGGTGAATCGAGCCAGTCTGCCTGAGGCTTTGTCGACGAATTCGCTGCAGAAGGATTGCAAAACGAATTGTTATTGTTAATTCAATTTTAATGTGATAGTTTTGGTAATACACAACGGTAACAGTATCTTTCAGTGGCCAATCAAATTGATATCACGTGACACAAAAGAAATGATAAACATGAGAAAAATGGAGGATTTAGTTTGTTCAAATGGGTGAATTTCGTGGTGTAAATGAAATTGCAACTGGAAAGCTGGGTTGTTTAGGACAGCTGTTTCCACATGGTTGGGTCTCATCATCACTTCAGTGGGGGAGTGTATCGATCCAGCTGGGGACGCGAACCCGGTACCTCATGTATCATTCACTAGTTACATGAGTGAATTGAGCGATAGAAAAATAATGATAGTCTAGTAACGTGGGTGGGATTGGAACTCGGAATCCAAGGTTATTTGTTATTGTCTGAAACAGCTGAGGCGACCAACTGGACGAGGCTTCTTAAGTCTCTGAAAAAAAACAATCATGCACAGTAGCAATCATTGACTGATTGAGATGTATTGAGTCTTGCATAGTAAATGATGGAGGCATAGAAATTTAGTGCGAAGAACTGCCAACTACTGAATTCACTTCCTTATATTTCTCTAATCGTAAGCTGATGTGGTTGCACTGATAATCTCAGGGATGCCGATACACACTTCCATGTGGTCAGTTAAGCGATGCCGTCATACGTTACAGCCTCTCTGATATCAGCGTTCGTTCGGCCAGACAGGAGTACGCCGTTCAAATATGAAATCCATGGCTAAACCGTGACAAAAAGGCTCTAGAACGTCCGCAAAGGCTGGCAGCGAAATTGGTAAAAGGTCTGTATAACAAGACATACTCCGAAAGACTGAAAATATTGGGACTCCACTCATCTCAATACCGCCGACTTGGGGTGGGGTGGGGTGGGGGGGGTGAAGGACCTAAGCTTGGCGTATCACATACAGCATCAACCCAACCACCCTAGCCGTTCTCTGCTGACTTTATCTCAAAATGATCACCTCAGCGGACATCCACTAAAGTTGAATACCCAGAACGACCACCTTGAATGCCGACATCACTCGTTTGCAGTCAGTGTTCGACGGATGGAATTCTCTCCCATCTGATGTAGTGTGTGCTCCTACAGTGGAACTATTTAAATCGCAACTTGATAAAGTATTGAAATACTTAAAATTTCAACATCCGTGAGCGATCACGCAAATTATCATTTTCTATTTGTGAAGTTATTCAAAATATTGTGTAAAAATCCTATGGTGCATGATAAGCTCTAGCTTTGATAAATCGACCATAATAAAACTTTTACTTTTACTATATGCCCAATCACCAAAGGTGGTATCAGTCCAGAACCAACGATCGTTGTGGACATTCGCAGCCGTTATCGACTGTATCCCAGCCATAAATGAGAACCACTATGATGGGAGCTAGATATGCATGCGCTTTTTTGCGTGGATTTATTGCATCGTAAACCAAGCGCCTATCCAAAGAACCGACACCTACAGCCTCATCAAAGTCCTCTCATGAAATTCAGTTCTGAAGCCATTGTGAAAATTCTCTTATCTCCTAAGGTCACTCTGTGTGTTTTATTGTAGTGCAACCGGCACCACAGTTTGCATTTCAATTCAACTACGTTCATCAATGCTGGAAGTGAAAAAACCTCCACATTAGTTATCAAACCTCACAAAAACGAGAAGTTCCAGCCAACCGGAAAAAAGATAGCATATACTTTTCGATGTTTGACATGTGTTGAATAACGTACCGAACGCCAACACAAACATTTCA